GCCGCGATGCTAGTCTGATACCCAGACTCATAGAGAAGAATGTTAAACTCCTTCAGCGGAAAAGAGCGGACCAAATCAATAAAACAAGGATCGTGTTTTAGTACTTGGAGGTTGTAAACGTGACGTGTCTGACAGTGGTGACTGAGAGGTGGGACCCGACCCACGTTGGTGTCTAAGCTTCTGTCTAAGCCAGCGAACCCTCCCATCACACACAAACATAAAGTAGATTTAATACCCTGCTGAGGCTGGATTAAGACCGCTGGCTTCTCCCACACTGAAGCGCCTGCATCGTGTGCACGGCGGGTGTGTTTGTTTGTGTGCAAGCGCATCTTTTATGCGTAAATACGTCCAGCCTCTTTATGTATGTCTCTGCTGTTTGGTGCCGCGGTGACACTGCTCTGAGCTGCTGGCTTAATGGTCTGTGACTTACCGCCTGTTGCTGGGGACAACAAGCATTTTGTTGATCTAGCCATGCCTTATATCTCTGGGTCGCATCAGAGACAACAACGTCTACTCTACATCACGGTTTTTGTTTTACAGAAACTGCTGTCACAAAACAATATAATATATTAACATACAACAGTGGAGCAAAACCTGTACTGCTGCTGACTCAGCAACTACACACAAACCATATTAGACTTCCAGTGGCATTCTTAACTAGACTAACACAATATAAAGAGCACAAATATGAGTTACCAGTTCCTCCACACATCTCTGCCAACAAGGAAATAAATCACATTAGATTGATTACTTCACCTTGAAAGCATCCGACTGATTTCGAGTCACGACTGTATCTGTATCTGTGTGTTTGTTGTTATGGCTAATCAAAGCTAATCTGTCCAGATATACAGAGGGGTGAGTAACAGGTGAGAGTGCACTGCATGGTGGAAGCCTCTTCACAAATGATACATACAGTACAGTACATTTGAAATAAAGTGGTACATTTCTTTATAAAATGATGCCACAAAACAAGACTGGAGGTACTAATAATAAATGACTTAAATCATCCTGTAGGAGCCGTAATATTACTGATTGAATGTGAATGAATGGTGTATCAGATCTGTCTTAATTGACTCCTTTGTCAAACCTTTTCTCCAAAATCTAAATGACCTCTGTGACTGTGACAACCTCCAACAACCAAACTGACAGCTTTTTAGAAGCAGAGAAATACTGCCTTCATATTTGACCACATAATGGAAGTATGCATTTATCCAGAGGATTCAAAGATGATTTTATAAGAGCTGTATATGGCAGAAGATCTTCATCACAGGGAGCAGGCAAGCTCCAAAACGGTGTTCTTCCACTTGGGGCTTTTAAACTGTGTAATCTTTCACCTGAAAGTGAAAAAACGTTCATGCTTTGACCTAAATACACCTCATCTAACCTTACTTTACTTTCCATCTCCAGTGCTGCAGTTGACACTGGATGTGTGTGTGTGTGTGGAAAGTGACATAAGGTCTAAACTGAAACACTGTACTAGGCCTTAAAAAAAATCTACCAAAAATAGATTATTTGAGCTATTTTGTTGCCTGCCTATATCAAGCCCTTACTTGGAGTTTAATTGGAAGTCTGCCTTAATATGGCTAACATTAATACACTGGATATGGCAAAAGAGCTGGGGTAACAATTTAGGGTGCCGGTAATGTCCTACAGACGTCACTACGCCCAATGAACAACTGGTATTAAGACTTTATTTAACTTTATTACTAATATCCAGCTGACAGCAGACACATCAGGATGGTTTTGAAGATTTATAGTAATCCAGGTATTGGCCGGTTAGCCAACCAATATAATGTATATTGTTTGATTATTACAAACTCTTAACTTGAATATTTTGATTAGTTAGCATTAGTTTATTATCTGTATCTCAAAGGAAGTCTATATACTAATACCCAATATTATAGCTGAACCAACAGAACTTTGACACTAATGATTTGATTGTTTGGGGAATTTTTCAAATTTCACTTTAAAGTTTGAAAAGGGGATTTTGTCAGGCAATTTATGTCTAAAATCTAAATCTAAATGACAACAAAGCAGTCGCCCCCTCTGGCCACCTGGCAGCCTGGTCCTTTTTTGTTGAATTGTTGTCAAATTTTTCCAAAAGCTGCTGACACCAGTGTGTTGGAATGGAAAGCAAACGCCTTTCTGTGTGCTGTGAAGTGAGTGGCCCTAAAATTCAAGCTGTACACATTGACCCACTTCAACCAATGTCCTTTGTACTGGATGACCAGCCACATCCTTCCTTGTCTCAACAAATACAGACTAATTGGTATTTGAATAACAGTAACAAGTCAAAGTCTTTATGGCTTTGTGTCACCTGAGTGCTGTCTCAATCTCATCATCAATATTGTTAGCATTAGCTGTAGCCACAGCAAAATAAATAAACTGTCTATAGATGGCTTGTTTGCAGCAGCTGCTCATTACTTTGCATGTGCAGCTTAATGTAATGTGAGAGCCCGATCGATTATAGGCCGGAATCAATAACATTGAACATGCCTGCCCACATAGTACACACACACACACAC